GACATTTTATAAAATAGATAAAAATTAAACACGGGACATTTTATAAAATAGATTAAAATTAAAACGGGACATTTTATAAAATTAAACTTAATATAAGTCGAATGGTATAAATCTTTAAAAATTCTAAATTTATAAAAAAGAAATCCAAAAAATCATAAAATGAGAAAATTCAGAAATGTAAAGTTGATCCATGAGTTGGTTAAACCCGGTTTTTATTGAATTTCTTCATAAGTTTCCAACTCTGGCTGAATTCCTAAAGTAATTTCATTCATATTCTAAAGCAAAGTGAACCACTCAAGGGTACTAATGGATTTGAGAAATTAGCCTCAAATATTCAACTATTCATCAAATCAATTTCATTTTACATTTTCTGCAGATTTTAATAATGATTTTTTGTATAAAATTCTAATTATATATATATATATATATATATATATTGTTCTGAATTCTGAAATGAAGTTTATAAATTTAAAGACGACCATCGTTTTTCGTTATTCTTAATAATCAAGGATTTGGATTTTTTTAAAAACTCAACAAAAAATGAAATATTTTCCATTTTCCAAATTATTTACTCTAAGAGTTTGCTGCTTTTACAAGGTTACCTACAAAGAATGAGAATTCAAAGACTACTGTACGGAAGTTTTTTACTTTTTTTTACATTTTTGGTTTCCTTCAGCTGTAAACTTGTTTTTGTTTAGGCTATATTATTTAGTGTTTAATTTAAAGAGTATATTTATGGCAGAAGACAGTTCAACCTTCATGTTCAAAGAGTTTCAGGTTGGATCATAAAGGTTTATACTTTGTGGGTTAAATAATTTGAAGATATAAGGCGAAAACAAAAAAGACTTTTTGATTTTGTTTTGATTTAATACATGTTTAGTATCTGTGCAAATTGTAATAAAAGAGTAAACAATTTTGATATATTTTTATTCTTGTAAAGCGTCTAAAAATACTGTAAGTGTAATTTTAAGGGACAAGCTACATATAAAGATTTACTGTGCTACCAAATTGAAACCTTATGCTTAAAAAATTTATGAATATTTCTCATAATTTCCCTATTGTTTCTGAAGCAAGAAACACAACATTCACATATTTGTTGTGTATTAGACATGCCACTCTATCACTTGAAAGTACGTTTACAGTCGTATTCAAATTATCGAGGCCCATCTGTAGTATATATAGTTCTGTGATACATTATATATATAAAATACAGTATATTGTTGGAATATATAGGTTCTAGATTTGACAGAACTTTCAGATATAATTCAAAACCATATTTTGTTCAAATATATACAGGGGGAATCCCAATAAACACACTTGGTTCAAATATATGTAGGGGGAATCCTAATAAACACACTTGGTACAAATATATGTAGGGGGAATCCCAATAAACACACTTGGTTAAAATATATGTAGGGGGAATCCTAATGAACACGCTTGGTTCAAATATATGCAGGGGGAATTCCAATAAACACACTTGGCTCAAATATATGCAGGGGGAATCCCAATAAACACACTTGGCTCAAATATATGCAGGGGGAATTTAAATAAACATATTTGATATAGATAAATTTAGGGGGAATCCAAATAAACATGGATGAATCAAATATATGCAATGCAGCCTTGCAGGGGGAATCCCAATAAACATATTTAGTTCAGAAATATTTGCACGGGGAATCCTAATGAACATGTTTGATTCAGATAAATGCAGGGGGAATCCTAATAAACATGTTTGATTCAGTTAAATACAGGGGGAATCCCAATAAACATGCATGAATCAAATATATGCAGGGGTAAGTTTAATAATAATAATAATAATATAAATTAATATGACAATAAATAGATGAACTTCTAAAATGCCGCAAATTAGTCTAGGTTGATTTAGACCCTTTTGAGTACCTTTAATCTCTAAATATATATTTAGCTAGTTTGTGTAGGTTTGTCTTCTTGTTTATATCCTGCTGAACTGGTCAAGTCCTCCTTGTTTTGTTGGAATCTCAAATGACCCATATGGAAGTTTTATGGCATGTCAAATTAAATTGAAAAAAGTTTTAGCACACACAAATTCGATCCATGTTAAGCCATGAATGTAAACAGAAAAATCTCGGAAATTTTTAGTAATAGGACGAAGAACAACATTTAGAAATTAAATTGTTACTTGAAAAAAGAACGCAAAGCTGTCTAAAGCCTAGTGTATATAAATTACACTGTCGTATCTAACTTGAAGCTATCTGTTAGAAAAGTGCATTCGATGCAAATTGCAGGAAATGATAATTTAACATATTACTCTACAGATTACAACTAAAGGGACTGTAAGCGTAACTTCAAGTGAACCTCGATGCACAAATGGCAATGTCTGATTCACAACGGTACCTTTAAAAACTTTGTCTTATCAAGTATGAATTAGTTATCAATGTTTATGATTTTGCATTAATTATTTTCAATTGTAATTTCTTTCTATTGCAGGAGAACATATAGGAATTATCCAAATTAAACATTTTTTCATCTAGAATAACAGACAATATCTTCCACATTATTAATCAGATAAAGGTTGTGAATAAGGCATTGCTAATTTTCCATAAAGGGTGACTTAAATATATGCTTACAGTCCCTTTAAATAATTTGCGAGAAAAGAAAAGAACCTTTAACTGACTCTAATTTTAGATTGGGTTAAAATATTCTTTTTTTTGTGTCTAAATTGTAGTGAAATAAACAAACATTTTTTGCACAATTTTTTTTTCATATGTTTATTCCTTAAAAAACCTAAATGACTTTTCTAAATGATTAACCCAAGAAAGATCCATATCTTTGTTTACAAATAAAGCGTACTGCAATTTAGGAGAGAACTGCAAAAAAAACTATTTGAAGCCATTTCCATCTATATTTTGTTAACTTTCAAACTCACAGCTATGGTGCCTTAAATCTATTTTCACATGCACTGTTAGAAATTTGGAACAAAATGTTATGATTTTTAAAATAAATTTGGTGAGTTCGATATTAGTGGTTATTCGTACAGAGCCGAAAACTTTAGATTTGTGGAAATAATGATCAATGCTTGATCTCTTTTTGTTAATCTTCAGATTATTTTATTCTTCAGTTTAGGAAAGTTCTAACATTCAACCAACCAGAGTGGTGTATGCAAAATCCCGAACAGCCAATCAGACACCAAGAAATTAAAAATTTTGCGCGTCATTTAATGAGAGAAATAGGAGAAAAGAGCGGATTAAGCAGAAATCAAAAGTGTCCACAGTTGATATTCAGATATATAAGCAATCGGTATTAAGGGTATTCAATTTTAAAGTTCTCAGCTCTGTAAATAACATTTTATTTTTCATTTTTGTATTTGATTAAACTATGATGAGGATCTTGTACTGCAGATGACAGCTTGTAATTAAACTATAAATAGAGTTTATTCAAGTTAATAAATTGATTAAAGGGATAATTTCAGAGATGGAAAAATGGAATTTCCTTTTTTTGAATCTTTTACTGTTTTTTCTTTAATATAATTCGAGTGGAATTATAAACCCCTAGGAAGGATATCTGAATCCCTCCAGTGGAATTTTAAACCACAGGAAGGATATCTGAATCCCTCCAGTGGAATTATAAACCCCCTGGATAGATATCTGAACACTCCAGTGGAATTATAAACCCCTGGAAAAGATATCTGAATCCCTCAGGTGGAATTATAAACCCCTAGGAAGGATATCTGAATCCCTTCAGTGGAATTATAAACCCCTAGAAAAGATATCTGAACACTCCAGTGGAATTATAAACACCTAGAAATGAACACTCCAGTGGAATTATAAACCCCTATAAAAGATATCTGAATCCCTCCAGTGGAATTATAAACCCCTAGAAAAGATATCTGAACACTCCAGTGGAATTATAAACCCCTAGAAAAGATATCTGAATCACTCCAGTGGAATTATAAACCCATAAGAGGAAAACCTTAATCCCTCCAGTGGAATTATAAATCCCTAGGAGGAAAATTTGAATCCCTCCAGTGGAATCAAAAAACCCCTGGATAGATATCTGAACCCTCCAGTGGATTGTAAATCACCATGCGTAAAGTTTCAAATTGAAAAAAAGTGACTTTTAAAACCCCTCCAGTGAAAATGAAATCCCTCCGGTGATCTCCAGTTGAATCGAAATCTTACTACGAACTTCTTTGAGTCCACATATGGTCAATGATATAAACAAGAATAATAAAAATGGAGATTTTAAGAAAAATGGATATATAAAAACCAGCAGCTGCTATCTGATTATATTTACAATTTTGTAATAACATTTGTTAAATCAATATTCAAAAATCTTTTTAAAAAATCTTTTTTTCCACTAAAATAAACCTCCCCCCCCTTCCACCAGACAGAGGAAAGTTAATGTTATAGTGGTGAGTCATATCATAAGATGGTAATCTTAAACAGTTTTTTAGAATCCATCAAGAAATAAGAAAAAAAGAAAGACATCTTTAAACTTTGAAATTCAGCATTATTGAAAGAAAAGCGGTGCTAATCACTCTAGAAATGTTCCAAAGAATGAGTTCAAGAACTGTTTGTAGACGTGTGAGTTGAGAGAAGGCAACCCTACAAAATTGTGCCTAATATCATAATTTCATTTTAGAAAATTGTTCAAATTAAAATTCAAAACTAAATGCTAAGAAAAAAATTTAAAAGTTTAAAAGTTTGTATTAAAATGGTTTCCCCTGAAGAGTGCAGACGCTGAGCCTAATATATTCAAATTACTTTAGTTCAAACCAATTCCAAAGGGAAATCTGAGGAAATGAAATGATGACATTAACATCAGAAATTTCACAAAATGTGTGAAAATTCACTTTTTTACAACGCATAAAATTTTCCCATTCGGAAATTTGAATTGCTTAATTACACAATAAACCCACACTGTGCTATTTTACTTTTTAGATAAAAAGGAAAAAATATTTAAAAAAACATTTTTAATAATGCAAAATGCATGTATCTCTTTACACTCAATAAGAAGAGATAGAAATTACAACTATTTATTGTTTTAAACGTTACAATTATGTATCACAGAAGTCCTTACACGAGGTTCCAATCAATCAATCAATTAATAAATCCGCGAGATGCAATCAGCTGATTGGTTGATTGATTGATTGGTTTGTAAATAAACTGAGCAACGCGGAGTTGAGCAGTATAAGCACCATACCGCTGTATAAAAGTGCTCATGTAGGTTGAAAATGAGTCTAAAAAAAAAATTAAAATAATAAAAATTTGAGAATAAAGATTAGCAAATAAAACACAAAAATGGACAGGAAAAAACATAAAAAAGATACGCAATAAAAGCAGATAAGAACTAATAATTTTTTTTATAAAGATGAATGAGAGGGGTGGGGGGAGGGAACTAATGAACGGAAAAATGCTAGAATTACATGGCTTGGTGGGTACATACATGTATTTTGCTAAACCAAGTTTCTTAAAATAAAAAAAGTTATTCCTTAAATATCCCCTGTTATCCATAACATTTAATTATTACATTTATACATTAATATATATGATTAAATGACCGACATAGTTGCTGGAAACGTGATTACTAGAAACGCAGTTACTAGAAAATTAAATCTAGTATTCATGTTCAGGCCAATCATATATTTCTGGCAATTATATTTCCTGCAATCATATCTGCATTTGCTAAGTTTACAATAACTATCATAGTGAGTTCTTTTACAACTCTATGTCTCTACTTTGACTTTTAATAAAAACATTTTAAATCTTAGAAATAAAAAAATTAACAAAAACTATCTGTTATTTATGTCAAAAATCAATTTTAGCCTAAAATTTTTTTTGGGTCGTAGATTTTGCCTAATTACTACCTTAATTCAATTTTCTCATATAAATAGTTTTTAAATTTCTTTAAATTATGAATACTTAGTAAGACATCAAATATTACATATATTATAAACATTCTATACAACTACATAGAGTTGTTACAGTTTTTTTTAACTAGGGGTTCAAGCTTTTTTCATATTATTTTAATTCGAAATGTTACCAAAATTTTACTTTTGATGCGAAATTTTTTAAAATCAAAATAGGATAATTTTGTGCGGATATCTGAAAGAAAATTCCGAATAAAATGCTACGAAAAATTACGAAAACCCTAATTTCTATACATTCAATAAAAGATAAAACATCAAGATGTAAGATTGTTCATTTTTCAACCAGTTTATAGTTCTCTTAAGAGGCTTTGTTTTCTGGCAAAAATTATTCATTTAGATTAATTGATTTATATTTATTCTTATTTATTCTTATTTATTCTTATTTATTCTTATTTATTCTTATTTACCCTCATTTATTCTTATTTATCCTCATTTATTCTTATTCACCCTCATTTATTCTTATTTACCCTCATTTATTCTTATTTATTCTCATTTATTCTTATTTATCTTAGTTATTCTAATTTATTCCAATTTATTCTTATTTATTTCTTCTTTTTTACTCTTATATATTCTTATTTATCCTTATTTAGTCTTATTTATCTTATTTATTCTTATTTATTCTTTTTAATCTTATTTTTTCTTATCTATTTATTCTTATTTACTCTTATGTATTCTTATTTATTCTTATTTATTCTTATGTACCCCATTTGTGATCCAACAACAAATTTATTTTTATTTTAAAGTCAATATCTCTAAATCTTTTTAGTGTAGAAATATTAAGAAAAAGTAATTGAATGATAAAGAAATAAATAATATTTTTATGTGATAGAAAAAGTTTGAAGAAAGCTTTCAATAAAAACTTTATGTTTTCCTAGTAAATGAAAAGTAGTTTTTCTTTTCAACATTTTATCTTTAATTACTATTATTAATTATTATTATTGTTATTATTATTATTTTCATCATTATTATTATTATTATTATAATCATAATCATTTTTATTATTACTAAATGAATAATTTCCTTTCTGAGACTGGGCCTTTGAAAGATAATAGCTCCAGTACCAAGCATTAAACATAGCAAACACGAAGGGGAACAGTACTCTCGAGAATACATCGATCTTCTTCGCCTGAAATCAATCGATCAATTATTAAGCTCAGCAATCGATTCGTGTTTCAAAAGGATCAATTATCAATTTTAAAATAATTGATTTTTAACTAGTTGATCAAAAAATCGATCTTTGTTCTAAAACTATTGATTATTATGTCAATCATCAATTCGTCTGTAATCAATCAATTATTAATTTTCTCAATTAATCAATGGAATGATCATACATTTAAAATCAAATATTGATTTATTTGTAAACAGTGAGACCAATAAAACAGTGGGCGAGGAGGACTACATGTAAGTTATTAAGTGAAATGAGTCTGTGTACAATTATGTACAATGTACTGTGTTCATTGGACCATTTAACCCTATAAACCCTATTGCCTGGGGGGGGGGCGTCCCACGCCGCCCCTCGAAAAAGGCCTTTGAGGATAGGTATGGGGTTGAAATTCATGTTAATAGCCAATTTTTCAAGGCCAGCTCAGTGAAAAAAAATTAGATCGATAACTGTTATAGTTTGAGTTCTAGGGAGGGTTGAAAAAAATGCCCAAAAAAAGTCAAACAAATTTAAAAAATATTTTTTTGGTTTTAAACAAATATCAAAGTGTGACACATGTTTCTACATTCATTTTCAAGGGCTTTTCAAAAATATAGCATTTAGATCTGTAACTTCAGTCATAAAAACATTATGGGCTATTTTAGATTTTTTTTTACACAGACCGGACTTTTTACTGCCCTGTACCCAGGCCTGCCCAAAGCATAAAAAGTTTTTGCAAAAAATCCTTCAAATTTCTATTCATTAAAAGTAAAAAATTTTACAGTGATAATGTCAAAAATGAGAGTGCTAAGGAACACAAACTAGAGGGGGGGGGGGCGCCAACGCCCCCCCTACGCCTGTTTAAGGTTAAGATAATATAACTTAACAGTCGTCTTTCGTTTCTACAGTATAATGGGTTCCAACTGTAGATTAAAGTTAGCCTATAATTTGACTGCACAATGTTCAAGTTTAAATATATAAATTGAAATGTTAAAACTAAAGTTTAATCTAAGTTTGAAATAAAATGGTTAAATTTTTCTCTTTTATTCTTAACGTTCTCTATATTCAAGAATGCATTAACAATTCGAGTAACATTGAGAAAGATATCATCGTTTTTGTTTTTGTAAATATCACTATATAATATATCCGCAAATATATTGTATATATCCGCAAATATATTGTATATATTGTATATATCCGCAAATAACTGAATTAATGTATTTATACATCATATTTCTTACACAAAACCATAAACGCCTCAATCGGTTAATAATTATCTCTCAAAATGTCATCTTTTCTATACTATAAAATCAAAAATTTAAGCATATCCCAAAAACTTGCTTAATAACTAATAAAATTTTATAATCCCTATATCGGTACAACCTGATGGTGTCAAAATTTGAAATTCCAACATAGATTGTTTGATCTAAAGAAGTTGTATTTTGAAATATCTAATGTCTACGACATTGGGTTGCAAAGATATAGGGATTTGAAAATCAGAGTCTGTGGAAAAAACTCAGTTCCTTTTTACTAAAATCCTTTTAATACAGCGTTGAAATCAATACAACGAAGACAACTTTTCTGTTTAAGTTTTGATTTCTAAAAAGCTTGACAGCTTCTCTTTGTTTCCATGTTTTTTTGTAACCATGCTGTTTGAAAGTTTGGTAGAAACCAAAAATTGAAATCTAAAGTCGTCTTCATTATATTGATATATACGACGACGACTGTATGAATAAAAAACCAACCTGAAACTGGAAATTCTTCATCCAGAGTGATATTTTGTTGGGTCTGCGGATAGGTATTCTAGTATTTCACGAGTTTAATATCTATTCTAATAACTGGGCTTTCATGGCGCTTTTGCGTCGCTCTTTCGTAATATTTTTGGGTACGCAGGAATTTTTACGGAAACCATTTTTTACGATGAGAAATAGTTGAGAATTTTGCCAATTACTTGTTAAAATCTGTTGATAGTTACAAAGGATAAGGGAACTTTAAGGCTAAGGCGCTGTGACACTATAAAGTCGACCCTGAGCAGCTTGGATTTATTTCAGTCGACATTCAATAGCATAAATTCTAGATTTAATTGATAAGCTTTAATTGAATATATTTTCAAAGATGTGCATATATAAGTAATAATCTTCGTTTCAATTTCAATATTGCTGTATCACGTGGATTTAACAGTTCTGTCAATATTTCAGAAAGCTGTGAATTTCGATCAAAATTTGACCCATTATATACATTATTTCATAGCCTTTTTTCTTCGGTGATTTTTTGTCGGCATATACATTTTGAATGAAAAATGTATGAAAAAAACAAATCCATAAGTGTAAAGATTGTTGAATTATAGAGCAAAACACGTTTGATTTCAATTAAATTTCAATTAAAAGAAACAGAATGCTTCTCACTCTGGATCCTTTGGTTCGGCAGGAAATAGTTTCTGTTGTTGAAAAGCCACGATTCGAAATAAATGATTTTTTAAAGAGATAAAAGTTGATATCTTACCCATATATCTTACCCAACCTTGGTTAAACAAAGCTTTAGAGATGGATCGACTTAACAATCTCTTAATGGAGAGTCATTTGAAATTAGGACTGCAGTCCCTTGAATCTAGAGAGGAGGTCAAACTTAAAATTCACTTTAATTAAACGTGGTTACTAGTTACACACGTTAATCAAATTTGATTGAAAAAGTTTCAATCAAAAATTTATATCGCTAGAATTGAAGAGAGTAAAATGTGGAGTTAGTATTTTTTGTCTATATTGTTTAATGTTTTTCAAGTTTTGAAGTTTAAATAAAAAAATTAAACTTTGGTTAGACAAACTTGGATTGAATGACAAAGTTTGGTATGGTAGCATTCTCTCGGTTTCTCTCAAATTCGAAGGATTTCTGAATAAATTATTCAAAGTTCAAGGAGAGAAGGAAGTTTCTTGTCCGAGCCACCTTAAAATCCTCGTCCTTCCTATATTATTTTTCCAATCCTTAAATATATATTTATTTTTTAAATCTTGCTGGGCCCCGTTAGATCATGAGTGAAATGTTGAATTTTGGGAACTGATAAAAATAAAATTGAATTAAAGTTCTAAAAAATATTCACATATTTTTGCGCATTTTCAGATAATTACTCCGAATAAATGGAAGTTTACTATTTTTTTAAATTATATCGAAAACTATAAAATTTTTTCCGGGTGGTTCCATGGGGAAAATGAAAGTATTTTGCTGTTTCTTTTATATAGTGAAGGATAGTCATTTTCTTTTTACCTAATAAATTTGATATAAAATTTAACGGATTCGAAGATTCCATCATTGATGTAATCATTGCAGTCTTACTTTATTTTATGCCTTAAATTTATTTTTTATTTTTAAGGATTGGACGCTTAAAAGACATAATAGTGGAAGGAGGAGAATTTTGAGTTGGTTCGGACGAGAAAATGAGGCTCGGACGATAAATAGTTGTGATTAGCCTTCCTCCCTTCGTTCAAGGCTCCTCTTCCCTTCCCCCTCTCGCTATCAATCAATCCATCAATCAATTATAAACTTTTGATTCAATTTCGGAGAAAATCCATCAAATTCTTTTTCCCGGATTTTTTCTTTTCTGTCAAAGACACATCTCTTTAATTAAATAATTACCTCTTAATTACTTCCCACACTTAGAAAAGTAAATAAATAAAAATAATTGGTTTGTAGAGACTCTTTTAAGAAACATTAAATTGAATTAGGTATATGAAAACAATCAATTATTGTCAATAAAAAGATTGTGATTGTAATTAATAAATTATGGGACTCACAGCATTATCTTTTAAGCTTTATCTTTTTCAATAATGTATTGTTGTGTTTCTATATTTTCTATATTTTCTATATTTTCTATATTTTCTATATTTTCTATATTTTCTATATTTTCTATATTTTCTATATTTTCATTCTATATTTTCTATAGTTTCTATATTTTCTATATTCTCACAATTTCGTTTATTATCTCTGTAGAAGAAATCTGCAAGTTACTTTTTTATAAAAATCCCAATTCAAAATAATCAAAGTTTTACAGAGTAATCATGACATCTCATTAATTTTTAATCTGTCTAAGCTGTAGGAGGGTATTGTTGTGATTCGCACATGTCACACCATATAGATGGAATGCCACATAACATTTTGCATAAAGTCTTTTAAACCCATTTTTGAATAATCATTAAATTTCATTTAAAGAGATTTGTACAAAATTTAAAAAATGCAATTTTCACTCTTTGCCAAAATATTTTTGAACATTCTCCGTCAGAAAGCTGCAGAAAATACTCTAGTTTTTTGATTTAGGCTTAAAGGGTACCGTTGTAAATCGGGCATTGCCATCTTTGCACGGAGGGTCATTTATAATTCCAATTATAGTCCCTTTAATTCTCAACTAAACTTTCGGATTTTTGTAGTTTTCTGCAGTGTTTTCTGATCTAAGATATAGTAGTGTTTAGTGGAGAGTGGTTTAAGTATTGTTTTCTTTGATATTAAACTGCGCCTGTTATGGTGAAGGTATGCCGAAGGAGGGATCATATGAGCACCCTCAATCCTTCGCATCAGCGGATCCTAGGGATATCATTATCATTATTGTTATTATTATTATTAATATTATTATCATAATTATCATCATTATTATTATTGTTAATATTATTATTATTATTATTATTATTATTATTATTCAATAATGATGCATACAGCTCTACTATTTTTATTCTATTTTAAAAATGTTAAAAAGAATTATAAAGTTACCGCATATATTGGTTTTATTAAAATACTTTCTATGAAGTTGAAGTTTTCTTAATAAAATATTTTCCACTATTTTGAAAGAGAAATATTAGAAAAGATATTTTATGAAATTCTTGTCTGTCAGCAATCAAATATTTTTTTGCTAGTAATTAAAAAAATATATTAGGTTTAAAATCCAGAAATTCCAGTTTCCAGTTAAATTATTTTTCAGATATTTGCTTTTTTTCATTATAATGTAAATATATTTTCATTATAATGTAAATATATTTTCAGATTTTTATCTCAAATTTGCCACACCAGTCACACACTTACACTCGGGTTTTGGACATTTGGTTCGGCCGTTTTGGCGATTATAGAAACTAAAGCTGCTCACCATGGATAACGGAGCTCCCTGTTCCTCCAGCCGTTCCGGATTAAAGGAACAGTGTTCGAGTTCACGTTCCTTGCGTTCCTTTTGCTTTACACTCCTCTGTTCATCGGACCTAAATATTGCCAGGTTAAAGGGATAAGGGACTGTACACTCCTCTGTTCATCAGACCTAAATATTGCCAGGTTAAAGGGATTGTACACTCCTCTGTTCATCGGACCTAAATATTGCCAGGTTAAAGGACACTGTACACTCCTCTGTTCATCAGACCTAAATATTGCCAGGTTAAAGGACACTGTACACTCCTCTGTTCATCAGACCTAAATATTGCCAGGTTGAAGGGATTGTACACTCCTCTGTTCATCAGATCTAAATATTGCTAGGTTAAAGGGACTGTACACGCAATTTTAGGTGACTCTCTAATTATTGAGCGGCAAGTCTAGTTCATAAAGAGTGCTCTTTGAATATCTTTGTCTGATTAAGGATGACAGAGATTTCCTTGTTTTTCGATCTTTTTGCAAATATTGTGACACTGCACTGCCACTGGAGGAGTTTGGTAAAATTAAGAAGAGTTGGAATAAAAAAAATAAGATTTAGAGGAATATGATCAAGAATAGGATTAAGAAGAATAGGATTTAATAAGAATTGGATTAAAAAGAATAAAGTTGAAAAATATAGGATTGATTAAGAGTAATATAAATAAATAGAATTTAAAAGAATAAGATTATAAAGAAATGGATTAAAAAGAATAGGATTAAGATGAATAGGATTAAAAATACGATTTTGCAGTAGAAACCGTACTAAAATGAATTTAAGATATATATGGTTACAGTTGAAAGACGAAGAAAATAAAATAGTGTATTCGCCTAAAACTCTATCATTTCTCTCTTTAACTGTCAATACTATATTGGATTCTCATCTCCCATAATGTTTTAGAAATAAATCTCTGCCATAGTATAAATATATATAGAGAGAAATATACAGGCTTTAATTCAAATATAAAATTATAATATTAAAAAAATACAATGCAGGTTTTGGGCCTGAGAGAAACTGAAGTTCTCTTTTTTAAATCAAAGAAATAAAGGCTTATCTATCCTGTGATTAAAGAATGAGACTTCGGAGACAATTTATAAACAACTAATACTTCTCTTCAGACAAAGTGCAAGAAAGGAGTAACAAAGGAATTGAGTTTTTGTCACAAATTCCAATTTATAGTACCAAAATCTCAACAATCAAATGATGCGCACCTTTCATATTTCAAACTTACATTGTTTGATCCACCAGAATTCATAGATTGAAATATCTACGGTCTACGACATTTGGTTTTAAAGAAATTGGGATTTAAAAATCCAAGTTTGTGGCAAAGACTCAATTCCTTTCCGACGAAGTTACAAAAATGTCACCTCTATTTTGAACCTTCAAAATTTCCATGTTGTTTTTTCTACTATTATAGAACATTTTTTACTCCAGTTTGATCTTTTATTCCTGAGTCTAAAACTAAAGAATGGGCGAATTTTAAGTTCGAGGTTAAAAGTTCTGTAAAATAATGAATAGCTACTTAAATATTAAACTTTCTCAATTTTAAATTTGAATTTCC